TCCATCAAGTTCAGCCTTCTTTACATATAGAAAAATCTATCAATAGTTTAAATTCTTCTTGAAACCATTCAGGAGCAGCAGTTAGAACATTTACTTCTATTCAACCACATAAAATCAAAGACAATGATAAAAGTTAAGAGTCCAGCCCTACACTTTTTTCCCATCTGAATGGACCTCCTTAGGGGCATAAAGTAAAATCCATGTATTTTGTTGGAAGACCCAGAGGAGTATTTTTACATCTACTTTTCATGTGTGAAAAGAGTAAACATATACTTGTTTATTTTTTTTTCTCATGGTTTTCACTGGTGTTGTGCCTAATTATTATCTATATACTTCTTGTAGCTGTGACCAAAAGTTTTATTTGTTGGTTCTGACAGCTATTAGTGATAGTTTACAGTTTACCCAACTTAAATCTGGTCTTGTGTAGGTGATTGCATATAGTAAACGGCCTATTATTCAATATTTCTTTGTTTCCACAGGATTATTGTGATCATCATGATTTAATCTTCAGATTCACATGGTGTTGATCTGAATTTACATTTGTCATGCCAAACTTCTGTATCTCTTTGTTCATCTTTATTAGATCGATACTTTGTTCTAAGTCAATACCTAGAAAATGTTTTACCTGTCAGAGGTCTTTCATTTTGTATTTGCTTTACACCCTTTTGTATTGTTTCACGCTGGTACCTATGATGAGATCATCTACACATATTATTAGTATCAGTTTTTCTTCTTCATTCTGCTTTCTATGCATGCAGTGGTGGCAGGATTACGTTTATTTTCTCTTAAACGGTCATGTAGTATTTTGTTCCAATTTCTACATGACTGCTTTCAACTGTATAATAACTTAACTTGAGAAATAGGTTTTCATTCTGTTTGGACTTGCCCTATCAAGAATCTAAAAGCAGCTGGGATTGTGACCATTGGACTGTGAATATTGGACTTTATTTTATCTTTATATCCATTCATTGGTGCAACCAGTTTTTATTTTATTTTATGTTGTTCATTTATTAGGGTTTGAGAGAATGCTCTATATCTAGAGTTTGCTGATTATATTTTGTCAGTTGTACTTCTAGTGATTATCCCTACCTGTTTTTTTTGTATTTATCCACTTGTTGTTTAAACATTTGTATAGACTCTGTTAAAACCATCTCTTCAGGCAGAGAATCCCACATCCTTATTGTTCTTACTGTAAAAAAACAAAAACGTTTCCTTTCCCTTAGATTGAATCTCCTATCTTCCAGTCTAAATGTGTGACCTCATATCCTATGTATAGTCCTGTTTATGAATCGATTTCCAGACAATTTATTGATATGTTAAATAGAAGCATAATTTACCATTAATGACAATGCTTTGTACTTTATCTTTAAGCCAATGTTTTTCCCAAGAACAAGAATTTTCATCTAGACCAATTTCCTTATGTAACGGCTACCCCAGTTGGTGAGGGGTTATCAGCCATTGGAGACGTCCTTTTTCCCGGCAAGTTGCTGTGCAGTAATGAAGTTGATTATTCCCATTCACTGGATTCAAGTAGAGAGCAGGACAGAGCTCTTAAAAGAGCTAAGTGATTAAGTTGCAGAATCCCTTCCAAGAACGAGACAAGGCTACGATTTGAAGGGTCAAGAAGAACTGAGGTTTAATGACAAGTACTCTCCTTTTATGCAGTGCTCTAATTGTATCTACTCAATTATCTCCAAGCTAAAAAATTATACTTTTTATACATTCTCATAACTTCCTTATTTTACATGGTACATGAATAAATTTATATTTTTATGAACAGTACAACTTGGGGAACAATATATTAAAAATTCGTGCAAATCCGTTCGGTGGTTCGGGAGATAGTAAAAAGTCCCTTGAACTGACCGCACGCCTGTGAGTATGCCTCAAATCAGTTCCACAGATTCAGGCTTTGCGGGTCTGTCTTTTTTTCATTCAACAAAATTCCCTATTTGCACGAATGGATTCATCCGTGCTTAGACTCATTGAATACATCTAGTTCAGGAGTTTCTTTACCGAAAGAGCACTCCGTTCGGATGGATTTAGCCAAACGCACGGAGGATGGAAGTTTCAGCGGTGTTCGTGTAAAAGTCTATGAGTTCCACGCGATCGACGATGAAATACCGCTGAGTGCGTTTGACTATTCAAAATGGGCGCTGCCACGTGTTTGTGCAAACGAATGCCGACCACCCAGTCTATCAATTAAACCCATGGAGTGTTCGTGGATTTCACGGTGTTTGTACAGTCAGGGAGGTAAATGAGTGGCACACTTCTGTTCTGGGTGGTTGGCCGTTCGGTACAAAATTCGGTATTCAAATGTTCTTATACGAACAGTCTTTGTCTATTAGGTGCGGGATAAAGTGAGCAAGGGCAAGAAAACAGTGAAACTTCCCAGACACATTGTAGGGATTTGTTACACTTTAGTTTCAACACTAACCTATTGCGAGGAACCATATGAAACGCTTTGGCAAAATCCAAGTAGATCACATTGACTGCAGCACCCTGATGTATATTTTTTACTTCTTTGTAGAACGCAATTAGGTTTCTTTGACATGATCTATGTTTCATAAAACCATGCTTATTATTGCTAATAACAATGTTCTTCCCAATGAATCTCTGTATATTATCCCTTAATAACCCTTCAAATACTTTCCCGATCACATAAGTTAAGCTCATAGGTCTTTAATTCCCAGGCAAAGTTTTTGGACTCCTTTTGAGTATAGAAACCACATCTGCATTCCTCCAATTATCTGGTACAATTCCTGAAATAAAATAATCTTGAAAGAATATAAACAGAGCTACACTTACTTCCAGACTTAGCTTCTTAAAGAAGCACTATAGTGCCAGGAAAACAAACTAATTTTCCTGGCACTATAGGGTCATTAGGTCCCCCCACCCACAGGGCCCACCTCCCGCTGGGCTGAATGGGTTAAAACTCCTTCAGCCACTTACCTTTCTCCAGCACCGGCTCCCTCTGTGCTGAGGAACTCTCCACCCCTGCCGATGTCAGATCCAAATGCGCATGCAAGGCAAGAGTCGCTCGAGCGTTCAGACCGGCGATAGGAAAGGATTACTCAATGCTTTCCTATGGACGTCCAGCATCTTCTCACTGTGATTTTCAAAGGGAGAACTGGGGAAGCGCCTCTTGCGGCTGTCAGTGAGACAGCCACTAGAGGCTGGATTAACCCTTAGTGAAACATAGTAGTTTCTCTGAAACTGCTATGTTTTCAGCTGCAGAGTTAAAACTAGAGGGACCTGGCACCCAGGCCACTTCATTGAGCTGAAGTGGTCTGGGTGCCTACAGTGGACCTTTCATTGGTGAATACCATCAGGCCCTGGAGTTTTGTTTACATTAACTTTAGCTGCTGTAACACTTTGTCTTGAGTCAATTTGTCTGGAAGTTATTTTGCTGCAAACATTTGGATATCTCTTGCCATAGGATTTTCCTTAATATATACTAAGGAAAAATTTTTTTTTTTAATTTCTGGCTTTTTTCTCAAATTTATTAACTGACATGTCACTGTTTTCATTCTACCTACACTTTTTTTTTTTTAGAATTGATGTATTTAAAAATGTTTTGGGGTTGGTTTTGCTCTCCTTGGCTACCAATTTCTAATTTTCTAGTTTAGCCACTCTAATTGCATTTTTGCATGCATTATTGGCTTCCTTATATCTTATATAGAATGCCACTGATTTGTCTGATTAAATGCTTTGACTGCCGTTTTCTTATTTTTGAATCTCTTGATTGGCCTTATAAACAATTATACGTTTTAGTATGCCCCATGTACTTTTGCTTTTTTTAGTTGTGTCATTCTCTCTTAGTGAATCCATTTCCTCATTCATAGCATTAAGCCAGGATTGTGAGTTTATGTCAACTTTAAAGGTTTGGTGTGTGGTCATTACTTTTGAAATCTGAAACAGTTTTCCAAGTAGTGCGGGACTTTTCTATTTCTTTAAAGATAACATGTGCCATGATCATTCTTAGCTTGAACATTCTCCTCCTCTCTGAGGTTTGGATTTTTTCAGAACACTCTAATCGGCATTATTTATTGTTGGTGTAGAACAGTTTTCTTTGTACTAAATGCCTCAAGCCTTTAGTTGAGAACTTTTCTGTTGTCAGGTTAAAGCACTAGATAAGAAGGACTGTTCTTGTCATATATATATATAAAAAAAAAAAAAAAGATTCCTCTTTCACATTTTTTTTTTTTTAACAAATTCTTTATTTTTGTTGTGCGTAAGCTTATAACAATCGCTCAAGAGGTACCCCAAAGGCAATCCTCCAGCGCATTAAAACAGTCAAACATAGAGGTACATAATAAAACAAGCACATTTTTTTTAAGGTTATGAACAATCTGGTTTTACGTTGCTTAGGTATTGTTAGGATATGACAGAACTTTGTTAGAAGGTTGACCATCAGATTTAACAACTTGCTAATGTTTGTTCAGGCTTAGACATTTCTATAGTAAGTTAAAAGTTAAACTGGCTTAAACTTGCGTCGTTTTAGGTTCGCTATAATAAGCAATATAATAAGTATTTCAGTTGTTCTTGCTAACATCGCATCAGGTTATATCGCAATAGGACAAATAGAGAGCACGTTTACTCTTCGCTGTTCTTTATAAGCACTATGCTTGGTTACGCATAAACACGTAGTAGTATTTTAGGCATTCTCGCTAACATTGCAGCAGGTTATATCTCAGTAAAACAGATAAAAATCCCCTCTAATCTGAGCTGTACTCTATAAACACTGTGCTTGGTTAGCTCCGACAGGTAAGAGGTTTGAGTTGCCCTATCCAGTAACTGCACATCTAAATAACAACAAAACAGCAGGAGGAGAAAGTGCGCAATAAAGGCTGCCAAAAAATATATAGGACTAAGTGGTGAGACCAAAAAATTATATTGAAGAAAGCAAAATAATGTTCCGAGGCACTTTTTACTGGCACACCCATTTTTCTCCGATACCTGTTGTCTGTGTAGTCGAGAGTAAGGGTCCTTCAGAGCAGGCATCAGGATATGTTTTGTCCATTTGTTCCTCTGAGTAGCAGCCGTGCTGTGGTGGGCTTGCTGCTTACGGTCATCCGCTGGATGGTGTTCACCATGTTGTAAGGGATCTGCCATTTTCCGGGCTGTTCTGTTGCAGGCTGTATGGTAGGCGAGCACTGGGTCGGTCCGCTAATCAAGGTGTCTCGCTGGGTGGAAGGTGCGGTCACCCCGGGCAGGAATAGTCGCTGTTTAAAGTTCTGTCCTATTGGTGCCGCTGCTGTCTCTCGCCTCTTCGAGCCGCCTGTGTCTCGTGATGGTGGCTTGAGTGGTTGTGAGGATTGCCACGGGTTTTGCCGCTTCCCCATGTGGCGGGATCGGACATCAGGAGCTGTCTTGCTATTAATAGATGCTAGGAGGGAGGTATTCTCTGTGCCGTCCGCGCACATGGCGCCCGCCATTTTGGATGCAGTGGTTAGGCTCCTCGGTCTTGTTAGCAAAGACGCGGTCATGTCTGTAGGGTAAGGACTGGGATCACCCCCCCAGTCCATAGGGGGGGGAACGGAGCCGGATCCGTCTAGACCCCAGCCAGGATCTGTGGTGCAGGATAGTGAGGCAGCGGCAGTCTGCCCCGCTCACCGCCAGAGAAGGCCCAGGTTTGGGCAACAAGATTTTCTCCCCCAGGGGACTGAAGCTCTATGAGCTAGCCTCTCCCAGGGTCCAGCAGTCCTCCGGCTCTGAGCAACACTTACATGTAAAAATATATAAGGAAGAAGCTTCCTAATTTATCCTACATCCCTGATGAAGTCTACTTATGACGAACGTTTGTTTCCAGTTTTTATTTCTCTTGTTGGTATTTTATTTTATGCATATATTTTCCTGCTGCTATCTGACTGCCACTCCATTTGCTGTACCTACGGACTTTTCCATACAGTTCCACTTGCTTGTGGAGATATGCTGGCTGACTGCAGTTTGAATGTTAGTGCAATCAGTGCAATAAATTGTATTTTCTTCTAGCAGTACTGTTCTATATGTTTTTCCCCCTTTGAGGGTTTGGCATATCGAGAGCACCTTTGCTTGCCTCCCAGGATTCTTTCAAATAGAGACAAGCACCTTCCTAAGATACCCTGAATGAAAGGGGAGATAAGCGCAGATCATCAGTGGCTCTTGTAAGTTCTCTACCTCTGGGATTGAGTCACATATTTCTCTCCATACTTCACAATTGTGTGGTTTCTTATATTTTCTAGATTCCTCAGAGATCATTCCCTGTAATATATACAGGTTTTATTCTCTTCATATTTGTATGCTACCCCATCTTTAGTCTATACTCCTCTTCTTGGAGTTGTATAGATTTGTTTGTTTTTTTGTACATTGTATTGGTGTAAGAAGGAGGTACACTTTTTGGGTGTTAGCACTATCTTCTGGCTTTTTGGGGTTCTATATAGTACTTTTTTTTGGTATACCCTAGACCAATATGTCTACATATTCTTTTTGCCATGTGTGATATATTGGGAGTCTTGTTTGCAATGCATTATGTTGTCCTGTGTGCGTTATTCTAATGGGCTTTTTTCCAGCGCTACCGAGAGATACGAGAAAAGCAGAAATCTGTTGACAAGTTCATTGCAGTTTGAGGTCTCTGGGACACTTTGCAATATCCAGCCTTACAGTTTTGGGGACTTGTCTGGGATCTGGATGAAACACCTACTTGTGAGTAGATGTCGCAATTGACAAATTTTATGCCTTTTCTGTTCCTGCTACTGGAGCGATGTGACTCCAGAACTTGAACCTTGTTGAAGCTGTAAATTGTGATTAAGAGGTTGTAAATGGAAGCAGTGGTTGGACTCTGGAACAGACTCAATATAGACTTAATAGTTCTAAGTATTGATTTATTGTCTTTTTAGTTAGGTAGAAGAGTGATTGGGAAGGTTTGTCTCTGAATAAGTGGAGAAGTTGCTCCTATGTAATTTTAATATTTCCTTCTGCTTTCCATACTTTCTTTCTTTCTCTCTCTCATTTATATATATATATATATATATATATATATGTATATATATATATATATATGTATATATATATATATATATTGTTATATGTTATTTACAAACTGTATATTACTGAATGGAGTATTATGTATGCATGTGTGAGTGACTGGGCTGTTCAAAGAGGCACCCATACTGGGGAGAGAATAAAACCAGTGACCCAATGGTTTTCGAATGTCAGTGTGTTCAGCGAAGCGATTGTGGTAAAATTCCAATGAGCTTGATACACTTTTCATAAGATCAGAATTAAGTGTGAAATGTGATTGTGTCTGAATGGCAATAATCTCATAAGCCCACATAGTAGACCAGGATAAGGCTCAAATTGATACAATCAGGGATAGTTCTGTTCATCTCCCCCTTGTGGATAGAGTGATTCTATCAAAACACACTTTACACCATGACCCTTGAGTGAATATGCGTTGGAGAAGACTCATACTGTGCTAACCTCTATTTGAGACACTTTGAGGCACACCCCATATTTTTGTTTTTTGAGGCTGTAGCTAACTGACTTTGCTTGCACCAGATTCTAGGACTGACTATATGTATTGTGACATTATTTTCATAGTAGTATCAATATTAATTGCAATTATTTGATACTTAACTGAACTATTCTAAGATGGGTCAAGAAAGTTCTAATAATATTTACAAGATTAAAGGACCACTATAGTGCCAGGAAAACATACTCGTTTTCCTGGCACTATAGTGCCCTGAGGGTGCCCCCACCCTCAGGGTCCCCCTCCCGCCCGGCTCTGGAAGGGGGGAAGGGGTAAAAACTTACCTTTTTCAGCGCTGGGCGGGGAGCTCTCCTCCTCCGATCCTCCTCCTCTCCTCCCCGTCGGCTGAATGCGCACGCGCGGCAAGAGCTGCGCGCGCATTCAGCCGGTCACATAGGAAAGCATTATCAATGCTTTCCTATGGACGCTGGCGTGCTCTCACTGTGAAAATCACAGTGAGAAGCACGCAAGCGCCTCTAGCGGCTATCAATGAGACAGCCGCTAGAGGGAATCGGGGAAGGCTAAACCCATTCATAAACATAGCAGTTTCTCTGAAACTGCTATGTTTATAAAAAAATGGGTTAACCCTAGCTGGACCAGGCACCCAGACCACTTCATTAAGCTGAAGTGGTCTGGGTGCCTAGAGTGGTCCTTTAAGCATATGTTGTTGGTGGTGAATTCCTGAACTGAGTTTCCTACGCCCTCCCTAAATATACATAATGTATAATGCAACTGTTAATGTGTCACCCACATCCCTTCCTGGGGCGGTTGGAGGAAGAAAGACCCCTAATGAAATGGAAAGGGAATAAAATGGATAAGAAAATTTTTTATTAAATATTTAAAGGCATGAAGTTAAAAAGTGCCCTTAAATTTTTAAGAAAATGCTTATGTGCAGCAAATGCCATATGTGTTGGCAAGAGATAGGGTTATCACTAATATGTAATTGAGTGTCTAATTATAGGTGTTCTCTTAAATGTGGAAGTGGGCGAAATTTTGTTGAAGGGAATGCTGAGACTTTTATTCGTTGTGACCACAACTGAAAACTCAATGTACGTTGGGCCTGCAGTGTTGGTCACAGCGGCTTGTAGTCTGGGATCAGAGAATCACAGACAGTGGCAGAATCTGCATTTGCATAGCCGTTGGACATTCAACTTGACCAGTCATCTCAAAGGTTAGCCATACCATTATAACATGACACTAGTGTAATTTGTTGAGGTGTGGGAGAATGCGGCCGAAACGAGTTCTGCATTATCTGATTCAAGTATTTAATCAATGTGTATATAATAAGCTTTGACTAACTGTAACATCATTTGAGATTAATTCTGTTTGATGCACAGGCAAAACGACAAGTAAATCTGTGATCCCACCATCTCTCAAAGGGTGATACACTAATCTAGTTATTTGTAAAAGATATGGGCAAAAATTCACGAGGAACAATTTAAATTTATGACCAAGAAAACGGATCCTTTAACATCTTAAGTCTGACTATTTAAAGAGAATGTTTTTTGACAGTGTACAGTGTGTGGGCTGAGTGGCCTGCATTTATGCAATTTGTAAATAAAATCTAGGGAAAAGTCTATTATGTAAAAAGATTCTTTCTTACTATAACACAAGAAGATGTATAAAGTATAATAAGATGCTTGAGAAAATACAAATAAACAAAATAAAGAAAATTATATAGAGATTAAAATGGTATACCATACAAAAATATCTAATAAATACTACAGGTAGTAAAAATATGTATGGATGCAGTGACTATTCGTTGTATGCATGTATAATAAAGTGTGCAGCCTAACTGGCAAGGAAAATAGTTGATATGGAGAATTTGGAGAATTACTATTAATGTGTTGTTTTAAAACATGTAATTAATCAGTTCATTATAGTTTATAGATATAGACATATATTCCAGCCTATTTACCTATTAAATAACTGTTCTATGTATTTGGGCTATTGAATATGAGTAGTGGGAGTTGGAGTGCAGAGCTTAATTATGTGTTTAATACTGTATTGTGATAAGGAATTTTGCATTACCCAGGCACATATTTGCTATGTTTTTCGTTCAGTTTTTATCAGTTTTATTTACAGTGTGTAGTGTAGATAATGTTACCAGCAGTTGAAGAAAGTGTCGGTGGTATTGTTTATAACAGATTAAGCTTTAATGTTGCTTGAAAACAGGCTAAATGTTTGTGAAGGTTAAAAATATGTTGTTGTTTGGATTAGTGGGTTAAGCATTGGCATATTAGAGAATCATGTTTTAGAGATTTCCATGGCATTGAGTTGAGTTATGTAATGGTGAACAGCAAAACTCGATAACTTTGGTTCCAGTATATATACAGAATATGCATATGTGTGTGTCTGTTAGTCATTAAAAGTCAAATGTGTTTCACTTAAACTAATTTAAAAATTACTGTCTAATCCTACTACGGGTCGATAGTGTTAAGTAGCACCGGTGTGCGGTACCAATTGGTACATTGGTATATTAATATGGATAATATGGGGGCAGTTCATGTAGTTAATCATTCCATGTCAGGAACTCCCCCATTGCTGGCCCTGTTTAGGTGTCTTATTTTGCTGTGTCTATAATTTAACATCTGGGTAAAGACTAGGCATGTTCCAGGAATGCAGACTGTAATTGCAGACTCCTTGTCTTGTTTTCAGTGGGATTGTTTTGGGGAAGCTGTCCCAGGAGTGCCCTGAGATGGGATTTCCATACCCAGAAAACCTACAGAGTCAAGTAAACATATGCAGTTTTTCAAGCCTTTGTTTATAATTAAAATCTTCCATTCCCCTTATTAATTTTGTAGCCTACCTTCAGATTTTCTTCAGCTCCATAAAATCCTTGTTTAAAACTGGCGCCCAAACAAATAAAATTATAGTAAGTAAACTATATCTAATAAAGACCACCAATGAGCAGAGTAGCGTTTTAAATATCATATAACAAGATCACATATTTTGTAAGCCCATCCCATCATTATAAAG